ATTCAAGTTCCCAAGTAGCATCGCTCGAATGTGATTTGTCCCACTGAACCCTGCTGTAAATTACTAGTCTCTCACATATTCATCGATATTTCTTTCCCATTTGATGTCCAAACCCAATAATTATCCTTAAATCCCTTTCTCTTCAAATGAGTTTATACTTCTTCCGGATTACTTATTATACGTCTACACCCATATTTAAGACACATACATCTTACTCCTCTTTCTCTCCAACAACATTCTTGATCAAATGTTCATGTAATAAACGTCTTAACTTCTTCCTCAAAATGTGGTTTAAGTCTGCGTCTTCCAGCATACATATGATCGTACATCCAACTACGATAGTACTTATAATATTTTATACTATATGTTTACAATATCGTACGCATTATAATCACAAAAATGTTTTAACCAATTGACCAATTCGAAAATTTTGGTCAATTATATAAAATAACAAGTACATACATATAATAACAAAGTAAATAATAACATATATAATTCTACGTTAAAAACATAAGAAATAATATAATTATGTTACTATGAATTACATTTCAATTTTAAAATTATAGTATAACGTACTATTTATAAAATAATAATGCTATTATAAAATTATGTTATAATACTATTGTACAAATATATTATAACTATCATATAATAACAATATATTAAAAAAAAAGTAATAAAATGATAGTACAATACTTATGTATTAATTATGTTTAGCATAATATCATTAACTATGTTACTACAATATGTTACTTTAAAAAATATAAATTTATGAAACCTATTTTAAATAATAAAATAAAATTCTGTTTTTAAATAATTAATATTTAGTTTTTTAATAATATTATTATTCTGTTTTTATAAAATGTATAATATTTCAATTTTGAACTTAGATGATATTATTCTGTTTTTTAATAATAATATGTTATTTTTACAAATATTAATAATATTCTTTTTTTTACAATAATATATATTAAAAATAATAATATTATGTTTTCTAAAATACAAATATTATTCTGTTCTTATAAAATATAAAATATTTTGATTTTAAAAATAATATATGCTATTTTTACAAATATTAATAATATTTTGTTTTTAATAATATTCTATTTTTTAAAAGAAATAATGATATTCCGTTTTTAAAAAGTAATATTTTTCTGTTTTTAAAAATATAATATTAATATAAATATTCTGTTTTTAAAAAATATTTTTTTCAGTTTTTAGAAATATAATATCAATATAAATATTTTTAAAATAATAATATTCTATTTTTTAACAATAATATTTTTCTGTTTTCAAAAATATAATATTAATATAAATATTTTAAAAAGTAATATTATTCTATTTTTAGAAATATAATATTAATAATAATATTCTTTTTTTAAAATAATATTTTTCTATTTTAAAAAAATAAAATTACTCTATTTTTAGATATATAATATTATTTATTTCTAAAATCTATAATATTACTATTATATATATATATATATATATATATATATATATATATATATATATATATATATATATATATATATATATATATATATATATATATATATATATATATATATATATATATATATATATATATATATATATATATATATATATATATATAAATAATATTTACATAATCTATAATATTTCTAAAATCTATATTATTACAAAAATAATAAACTAAAATGTATAATATTATTTATTTATTTCTGAAAAAACGAAGAAAAATATTGTAATTTACATATATCATAACATATATTTTATGTAACATTTCAACCACTTTACACGCAATACAATGATAAATTTTATCAAAAAATTTATAAAATATTATATACCAATCTAACCATCACTATTTTTATTATACAAACTTAAAAAAAAAAAAAAAAAAAAGACATAATTTAAACCAGTTCATGTAATTCAGGGTAAAATAACAAATAATATGTGTACCTTAGTAAATGAATTTGATGCAAAACTTGAAGCAAATCTGAATCCAGTAAAAAAATTGAATCTTTGATGTCTTTGGAAATTTTGATTTTTGTTAAAATTTAGAGATGGGAGAAAGTTTGAGCGGTTGGGAAAGAATGAGAGAAAATGTTTGAGAAAGAAAGAAGAAGTTTGACAGATTTTGTTAAATGATTCTGAAAAATGAAAGCTGAAGCAGTGATATTTATTAGGAGCTTGCGAGATGAAAATCACCCTACAACTTTTTAAACCGTTGGGACTTGCAAAGTAGAAATCACCTTGCAACATTCTTTAACAACCTTGTGCCAGTCACGCCACCTACTACTCTGTACAAAAATTAATGATCTGACCGTTGGAATCTGCGAAGTAGAAATCACCTCGCAACGCATGCAACCGTTGGGACATGCAAAGTAAAACTCACCTCGCAACCCTTGTGTTAGAAAAAGAGCAAAAACAGTCACCTGCCACCCTGACCATTACTAATTGCAACATTTAATTTTCTCCCAATTTTTTTAAACAAAGTTGCAGAGTGTTTTTCATTTCGCAACTTTCTTTTTAAAAATTTCAAATTTCGCTCCATCTGTTGCGAGATGGCAAAACTTATTATTTTAAAAAAAACTATGTTGCGACGTGAAAAACACTCCGCAAGTCCATTTTTTTCGAGGTGATTAACACCTGGCATAGTCACTTGGATAATTCCAATTTTTTTTTGTAGTGCACCAAATTGATGAACTGATGACTATAGTTACCCACATAATTTTTTATTCAACCCATTATTAGTGTTAAAATTTGTATTTGATAGTGAACTCATTTTAGTTGTATTAGTTACTTCAAAGTACCAACTTTTATATGTGATGGTGAACTTATTTTGGTTGCATTAGTCATTGTTTAGTGTTAGCTTTTTGTATTTAATAATGAACTTATTTCATAATGCAATGGAAATCATGTCATTCCTTTGCATGAATTTAGTACAACTTGTTAGTTGTTTTAAAGTGATAGTATGAAATAGATTACAATGTAACCTATTTGGAAAAAAAAAGAAAATTACATTCACCTCCAATGAGGTCTTTTAAAATTACACTCATACTCTTTATAGTATTAAAATATGCACTAACCTCCCTTGAGATTTATTAAAATGATACTAACACCTCCTATAACTTTTAGTGATAACTAAAAATTGTAGGTATAAATGACATTTACCTATGACTTTTGTTTGTCATTAAAAAAATATTTGTATATATAAACTTACGGAGGTTAATGCATATTTTAAAATTAAAGATGTCAGTGTGATTTTAATAAATCTAAAAGAAGGTGAGTGCAATTTTTTCTTTAAAAACTAATTGTAAAAAATATAAAAATATGATAATAGAGAATACACAAATTAATATAATGTTTGAAAAAAAAAACATTGTAGATCGATTAATTTAACCAAAATAAATCAAACCAAACCAAATTAATTAGTTTTATTTAATTCTGTTCTGGCCTGGGCCCTGGCTTGGCCACGCCGGTCCAGCCCAATAATATTTTGCCAAGTCCAGTCCAGCTTGGGCCGCATCATCGGGCACAGGGTCCCCGGCGAGCAGGAAATGTCCCTCCGCGGGCAAGACCTGCCTCAGCTACGTCGGGCGCAAGACTCCCCCATCGACCAAACGCTGCCTTCTCCGCGGGCAGGACAACGTGTCCTTCGCATGTTCTCCCCTCCGCGGGGACACGTCCTCAACCAACTGTCCACTTCCGAAAGGGCATGTCAACCTACTTTCCGGAGTTCACGGAGCAGTTGAACTAGGGCGAAGACGACGTTCCGATCTTCACTACGCCACGTAAGCCCTAGCAGTCACCAGGGTTGAGTCTGACAATCCAGGCCAAACATGTGACCGTTGGTACAACGCTGAAGTCTCTCTATAAATACCCTCTTCCCCAAGAGGGTCAGATATTCACTTCTTACCCCTTTTTTGTATTTGCTGTCACTCTGTCTCATCCCTTACTTTGACATCAGAGTGTCTTGCAGGTACACCCCCTCCTCATCTTCATCACCAGTAAACAGGCAGCAGTCCAATAGAGTGTGACCAGCTAGCAATCCCCTTTTGATCAGATCAGATCAAATTCCATTTTTAAAAAATACTAAAAATTGAACAAAACCAAACTAATTAAAATATAGTCAGTGCAGACATTTCTTATAATCAAATACCAATTCAAGCGGAGCCAATTACAATCCTAATTCGCAACTAGCAATCTAATAGCATAGAAAGTGAAAATAGGCCTCTCATTTTCAATTGTATTATCAACTTTTTAAAATGTGAAAAGGTGGCTACAAAATACTGCAACTATTTGCATTTATAACAACAACCAATTCACTTGTTATAGCAGCTACAAAATGTGTCAGCTTAGATTCGTCTAACTCTAATAAATAGATATATTAAATAGTATCATTATTAACGACTTAGATTGAATTTTTAAAAATATTCTAATAGATTGTAATGATTTAATTTCATCAATGTGCCATGATTTGAATCTAGATCTATCCATACACTTATTTTACCTGACCAAAATAGATTGTAATGATTTAATTTCATCTATTCAAATCTAAATTCATCCGTACACCTATTAAACCATACTAGTCAAATCTAACTTATTCATTTAAATCTAATAAGAAAAGGTACTGTTCTAAAATTAGAGTTAGATTTACATGGATTACACACGTGTATATTTATGAGCAACACAAATAAAATTGAGTAACACCACCATGAAAAAATGAAAATACACTCGCTCGGTTTTGTAATGAATGAACCATAGACAATAAAAAAGTATTTTAAAATAAATGATTTATTATTATTTTAAATATATGATAAGAATTATTTTAGTAAAAATATTATTTTTATTTATTTGTATACAATGGTGAACTGAGTGGTGATTGAGTGAGTAGATATCGATAAGAAAAAAGAAAAAAAGAATTTAATTGCAAAGGTAACGTGATTGTGTTGACCCGACCAAAAATGTCTCGATTGTAATGAAAAAGATAAATTGAATAAAAGAAAGAGAAGATGGTAACAACTACAACAACTACGCTTCTCACTTCCTTCCATCGTCTCTTCTCTCCACGCGGCCTCACTAGGAATTTCCATTTCTACCCTCCTAACCGTTTTCTCGCATGCAGAGTCATGGATTCACCGGACGGTGGATCGTCGGCGCCCTCACCGGCACCGTTGATAGACTCTGTAACTCAGGATTTTAAGAATCAAACGATTCACACTAACAAATTCAAAACCCTCGAGGATCTCAATTGGGATAATTCCTTTGTTAGGGAATTGCCTTCTGATCCTAGAACCGATTCGTTTCCGCGAGAGGTTTTTTTTAAAAATTCATTTTTGGTTAAATTAGGTCTCTGATTTGTAATCTTGATTAGGAATGAAAATCTGATGTTTTTTTGTTTGGAATTTTAGGTTTTGCATGCTTGCTATACGAGGGTTTCGCCATCAGTTCAAGTGGATGATCCTCAACTTGTAGCATGGTCTGAATCTGTTTCCAATTTACTTGAATTGGACAATAAAGAGTGAGTTTAGTTCCGAATTTTTCAAACCTAATGCATTTGACGTGCTTTTGAGATGTTCATGAATAGATAGACATGGATTTATTTATTTATACGGAGAGAAAGGAAATTGAATTTATTACTAGAGAATTAGGGTTTTGTATATGTTTGGAACATGTAGGCATAATGTTGTTGATTACGGAGCGGAAAATAGCGGCTATTTAATAAGGTTGTGTTGGCATAAATTATAATAATATTACAGCTGAATAAAAGGCTATGTTGCTAGTTTAACTGAAACATCAATCATCATTGTAATTGAATAGAAAATAGTGACTATTTAACAAGATTGTGTTGTCATAATAATATGACAGCTGAATAAAAGGGCTATATCTCGCTAAATTTAATAGAATTACTCAAATATTTCCATTAAATTTAGCGAGATATAGACTATAAGCTTAGACATGAAAGCTAGAAAACATACAACACAACAAGTCTCTTCGGATTGAGTTTCTTAGGTTCATCCTATTGCTGTTGTTAATGCTGCTGTCTTGGAGACAAAATCATGTGCTCATGCCAATGTTTAATATGCTTCACTTCAGTTGCTAAATTCTTGTGTTTGATCTTCAGATTTGAAAGGCCAGATTTTCCCCTTTTCTTCTCTGGTGCATCACCTTTGGTTGGAACGTAAGTGTTGAAACATGTGTAAGCATATCTTTTGGCGGATTAATTTGGTGCATTTAGCCATGATTGACCTTCTACTATACAGGTTGCCTTATGCTCAGTGCTATGGCGGACATCAGTTTGGTATGTGGGCTGGGCAGTTGGGTGATGGTAGGGCAATTACACTTGGAGAGATACTGAATTCAAAGTCTGAAAGGTGGGAACTGCAGCTTAAAGGTGCCGGGAAGACTCCTTACAGTCGGTTTGCCGATGGCCTTGCAGTGCTCCGTAGCAGCATCAGGGAGTTCCTTTGCAGCGAAGCAATGCATCACCTGGGGATACCAACAACTCGTGCTCTTTGTCTTGTGAACACTGGAAAGTTGGTCACTCGAGACATGTTCTATGAGTATGTTCACTGAACTTCCACTAATGCTGGCCTTTTCTAATGTATCTCAGCTTACACTATTGTTAATTGCCTTTAGCTTGTTATGATTTATTTGAAATTACAGTCTGTGGTTCATAGAATGAATAACATAACGAGTCCCTTTTCTCCTATATACTATATATATTATGAAAAACTTTTCTGTATCTATGCATTTTTAATATCAACCTTTCTTGAAATTTGAGTGTCAGATTCAGTGCATAGCAAAACTTCCTTAGCTCACCAAACAAAACAGAAGTAAAAGTTGTATTTTAATTTTATATGATATAAATATAGAATTGGAGATCAAAACCGTGGATTTATGGAAGTGTATTTGGCAATTGGCACAGATAAAAATTAATTACTTTAATATGTTGTTAATATCACACATGCAGTGGCAATCCAAAGGAAGAACAGGGTGCAATCGTTTGCAGAGTTGCTCAATCTTTTCTGCGTTTTGGGTCATACCAAATACATGCTTCCAGAGGTAGTAATGAGGACCTGGAAATTGTTCGTGGTTTGGCAGACTATGCTATTAAGCACCACTTTCCTCATATTGAGAACATGAGTAAGAGTGAAAGCTTATCTTTCAGCACCAGTGATGAAGATGCTGTGGATCTTACATCAAACAAGTATGCAGGTAAAATAATTCTTTTAGTAGTGGTTACTTTTTAACCTCAAAATTTTTGTTGAAGGAATACATATCCATTAAACATTGTCACTCAGTTTGAAGCTTGATATCTGAATTTTGAGTGGTTATCACTTATATGGCCCTTCAGCTTAAATATTAGTCAGCCTAATGCCCTAATTTTCCCATCCATTCTTTGCTGTGTAAATTGATTACATGTATTTAAACAAGTAGCTGAAACATGGGGACCAAGTAATCCCAAACTAAAAAAATCAGCTGTTATAAACATATATAAGAGCCCAAATAACTTACAAACTAAGAAAAAACGTACAAAGCTAATTCCCTTGCGTAGACAATGGTATTAATAATACCCAATGTTCAATGACGGATTGCCAGTTTATGGCGGAAGGACAAAGTTCTGCCGCATAAACGGGGAGGTTGCAACCTGTGGTGCCGCCATGGCAGGCGATGCTTCATAAATTGTCTATGGTGGTTGACACAAAATGTGCAACACCATTCTGTCACAACTTCTATTTAACAACACTGGTAGTGCCTGATTTTGAGAACCTAATCAGAGGTTAGTAACATAACTGTGTGATGGAAGATATAGCATTCATGAAGTTAATTCTACCAGACTGCGTATAAGCATAAATGTTCTAGTTGTAAGGCAAATATATTATGATGTTACAGTCTGGTCCAACACAAACTAGTGAAACTTTTTTTATCTTGGAGTAGTCAAGCTTATGTCTTCTTGATTTGACTGTTGTATATATTATGAAATGATAACAAATTTTGTATAAAACTACGGTGTGGAGGCATGGTTGTGATCTTCTGCTTATATTGTTCGGTATCTGCTTCTGGGGTTTCATCTCCTGTTTTTTGTAGTTAGTGTTAAGGCTATACAGCTTCAAACTTTGGTTGACGGCTGAAAGGGAACAAAGATAATTTGTACCATCTATTTCAGTGTTTGGTTTACTTGAACTTCTATAAAAAAGAAAATAAACTTCATTTTTCTTTTTTAGTAAAAAAAATGCTTGTGTGCTTTTGCCATGTTATATCTTTTAGATCATTGCTATTCATGTGTCATAAAGAAGGGCCAGGTTTCGCCTTTAAAACTCTGAAGATGGATTTTTTTATTACCAACAAGATTATTCTGCTATCTACCTTACAAACCACGACATTCAGTTGCTTTTCATGCCTAAGATTAGGAAGGCTTCTAAGCAGTGGTCTTGGTCCTACTAAAAAGCTCCATATTTGCCAGTTGCAGCAGTGGCAAAATAGGGAGACTGAGAAATTGGTGTGTTTAGATTTTGGAATGAACATGTTCACCTTTATATATGAGGAGTTGGGGAGGCATTGTTCCCCCTTGCTGCATGGTGATGCAGATAACACCCAGAATCATCTCTGTCATGGTCACGGAAACAAATTTCTTTATATCACTTGGTCCATCTTATTTTGACAGTTGTCCAAGTGTATATCCGGTCAAGTCAATTAAGTTGGCCAGTTCAGTTATTCTTGGTGCTGGATGTGGTAAAAGCAATAGGTTGGTCTGGTGATAGGGTGTTGGGCTTGGCCTATTAGGTCCAGTTAGGTTTTTTCTATAAATTGCTTTCCAGCACTTTTTGAAAGCAATGAATGAGGGGTTGTATTTAGTGAAAATCTTGTGTATGGTTTTGCGAGGTGGCAGTAAGAAAAATTTGTTTGTCAACATTTCCAATTACTCCAAAATTACCAAACTCTGTCTTGTCTTGTGTAGTTACGCATAATTGCTAAATTACACTTAACCTCTGGATTATACCTTATACAATGAAACCATTGTTTTTTACTAGTGGCGAGGTTCTGTTATCTTCATTTTTATGGGCTTATTCAGTTGCTTTTCTAAATTTTATTTCAAGTATAACTACAACACTGACTATAAATCCTTTGTTCTTTTTAATGGTATTTTATTTCAGCATGGGTGGTGGAGATTGCTGAGCGTACTGCTTCCATGATTGCTAGATGGCAGGGTGTTGGTTTCACTCATGGTGTGATGAACACGGATAACATGAGCATTTTGGGTCTTACTATTGATTATGGTCCATTTGGGTTCTTGGATGCTTTTGACCCTAAATTTACCCCAAATACTACTGACCTTCCAGGAAGAAGGTACTGTTTTGCAAACCAGCCTGACATTGGTTTATGGAATCTTGCACAGTTTACAACAACACTGGCAGCGGCTCATTTAATAAATGACAAAGAGGCTAACTATGCTTTGGAAAGGTAATAGTAACAATTCTATTGGACTCTCTCCCCCACCCCCTTATAGAAGAAAATTTCACATTATGGTTGGTCTTTCAGATATGGGTCAAGATTTATGGATGATTATCAAGACATAATGACCAAAAAGCTTGGCCTCCCAAAGTATAATAAGCAGCTGATTGGCAAACTTCTTACTAACATGGCTGTTGACAAAGTGGATTATACAAACTTCTTTCGTACACTCTCAAATATTAAAGCAGACACAAGTATTCCGGATGAAGAATTGTTAGTGCCACTAAAGTCAGTTTTGTTGGATATTGGTAAAGAGCGTAAAGAAGCATGGACAAGTTGGTTGAAAACCTATATACATGAGGTATAATTGTTTGTGTTTTTCTCTGGTTATGCACAACCTTAGCAAATCAGTTGCCATCCTTAAAACTAATATAAATTTTCTTTTTGGTTTGACTATGTATATTTATGAAGAACATGTGGAAATGAGCTGTATTTAGGTGTTCATATCCATGCGCTAATCATTTCTATTTATTCTTTGGCACAAAAGTCATAGTATGTACCACCTGCATCACATAGTTTGACTTTATAGTTTTGATAAAGTTCCATTTAAATTAAACTCACCCTTTTAGAATTTTCAAGAGGCATAGTCTTGGATCAATGTTTGTAAAGTTTTTTGGTTCATTTATCTTGATTTAACCAGCAGTTTCCAAACTGAATATCATTGGAACATTTCAATTCAGATTACAAATGAGCAAGTACTCATAGTTTAACTAGCTAAAAGCTTTGAGTAATATTGTGCTTTCCAAGTAGTGTCATGGATGTCACCTTCTGAAATTGTGTTCATCATATCCATGTGATATAATTTGTGTCTGTACTTTTACCTTGTCACAAGTTCTTGACCGATAAGATATTGACTTTCTTGTTGCATAGGTTGCAGTGATAAATTATGTGATTAAATCAATTGACCAAGATAATTTGTGCTTTTGACATCTCTGATTATTGCTTTGGGTTTATACAGCTCGCTACCAGCGGCACTACTGATGATGAGAGGAAGACCTCGATGAATACGGTAAATCCTAAATATATTCTCAGAAACTATCTATGCCAGACTGCAATTGATGCTGCAGAAATTGGTGATCTTGGAGAAGTTCGCAGGCTACTCAAATTAGTGGAACACCCGTTTGATGAGCAGCCAGGAATGGAGAAGTATGCTCGCTTACCCCCAGCATGGGCTTATCGTCCAGGTGTATGCATGCTATCTTGTTCCTCATGAGCTGCCTCCTTCGGTTGGCGTATTCCAAGTAGCAGAAATAGGAAAGTTGAAAACACAAACTAGGAATTTAAAAAAACAAAAGATAGTGTGTATTTGTATTGTACTAGTATAGATGAGGAGTTGGAAAACAATACTGGAGGAACCATCTCCAGTTAGATACAAAATTGAATGTACTTTATAAGTTATAAGTTATAAGTTATGTTACAATTATTCTTTTTTGTTTAAAAAATTTTTTGTTCTCTTCTTTTTCTTTTCAACCATGAGTGAACTTCTATGCATGGATTCTAATTGATATTAGTTTGACTTACCTTCTTCCTCACGCCACAAGAAGGGAAGTTCTAGTCTCTCCGTTGAGAAAAAGTGAGCAAGTGAGTTTTGAGTAGAAAGCAAGCAAAAAAAAGGAGCTTAAAAAACCAGACTTTTCCAAAGGGCGAAGTAAGCATATATACCACCATGAATTAGCTCATGGAAACATAAAAGGATAGTTGTTTAGACGGTGCACTAATTTCCATAAAATACACATTTATGAGACTTTTTCTGTACTTTTATCTTTCCTTCATGCATACAATACATCTTCAACCAAATATAGCAGTGCATCATAGTTGTCACCCAAAGAATCAATCTTTATCCCAAACAGAACCCCTTGTCTACTCTTCCCCAAAGTATCAATCTTTATCCCAAACAGAACCACTTGTCTACTCTTCTTCCTTTACTCTTGGCAATTCTAGGGGTTGCCAAGTTGCTTGTATATAAAAACCTCCCATTGTTCTACCTTTAGGTTTTTCAGAACACATAAATTGTTGTGCAATAGTGAGTGAGTCAAAAGGCACAATCCAAATCCTTGTGCATTTGGTGGAATTGCAGTAACAGAAAATGGCAACAAGCAGAGGAAGAATGAATGCTGGGATACTTCTTTTCTGTCTGACTTTAGCTACTATTCCTCTCACTCATTGTGGTAAGCCAAACTTAAAATTTCTAGCTAAAAGTAATTAACCATGAATCAATGATCTTGCAGGGATGGGTTATTATATATGGAAGTTATTTACATGTCATATCTAGATGCATATCTATAACTTTTGTGTGTGTGTGTGAGAGAGAGTAAGTTCACAGCTCAGAAGCCTCTTTACTTTCCACTTTGCAGATGCAGATAGATCAATAAGAATATGGAAATCCCCTAAACATAGAAGAATTGTAATCAACAAGAACTCAAAGAAGTTGAAAATAATCAAACATTTTGATTTTAATCCAACTATATATTCATCAAATGCACAACCCTATAGTATCAACTCTCCATTATCTTTGCCTCCTTATGAATCACTAGGTCCAGAAAATAGCACTCCATATTGTATATTTCCACCACCAGGTACTCCTATCACTGTTCCAACCCCCACTGGTTCTCAACCTACCCTACCATCACCTCCTTCCTCTTACAGCTCACCTTATCTTCCAGTCCAAAGCCCACCTCCAGCCCCAACAACCATAACACCAAGCCCACCAGAAAATCTTCCAACACCAACACCTGAAATCGTTCCAAGCCCACCAGAAAATCTTCCAACACCAACACCTGAAACTGTTCCAAGCCCACCAGAAAATTTTCCAACACCAACACCTGAAATTGTTCCAAGCCCACCCAGTAACATACCAGGCTCACCAGAGCCTATATTAAATCCTCCCATCATTTTTCCAGGCCCACCCGAGTCATCGACGAGCCCGCCTTATTTTGAGCCCGCCCCACCATACTACGAGCCCACACCAACACCATTCACACCTTCCCCTAGTGGAGGCAGTGGCACCATCCCAAGCCCATCAAGTACATTTCCATCTCCTAGTGGAGGCAGTGGAGGCACTATCCCAAGCCCATCAAGTACGTTTCCATCTCCTAGTGGAGGCACTATCCCAAGCCCAACTGTATTTCAGCCACCTGTAGTCTACCCACCACCAAGTGTGCCGCCGCGAACCAACAGGGCTCCGCAGGCCGCATTGTGGTGTGTGGCTAAGGCTTCAGTTCCAGACCCAATCATCGAAGAGGCGATGAATTATGCTTGTTGGTCAGGAGCTGACTGCACATCGATTCAGCCCAACGGGCCTTGCTTTGAGCCAGACAGTGTATTTGCACATGCTTCATATGCCTTCAATAGTTACTGGCAAAGGACTAAAGCTTCTGGTGGCACTTGCGAGTTCGGAGGAACAGCAGTATTGGTTTCAGTTGACCCTAGTGAGTCCTATGATCATAAAAAACAGATTTTGATTAAGTAACTCATAATTGATTTGATCCAAGTTTTGCTTTTTTACTTCTCAACAGGCTTTGATGGATGCCACTTCATCTACAACTGATCAAGGGAATGTGTTTTGAACAAAGTCATTTATAGAACGAACCAATGTCTTTCTTGTGGAAATATGGTATCTCAGGGACACAAGCAGATTTTGTATGTTGTAGGTAGTGTAGAATAATCACAAATGTTGATTTAACCTTTTGTTCTTCTCTAGCTAATACGTATTATATGTATACAAAAATTGTGATTTAACCTTTTGCTATATAATTTCTTACATTGTGTTTCTTATTCATGTAATCTGAGTAACACAAATCATTCACAGAAGAGCACCTTATATAAAACAAAATAAAAAAAGGAACCATTCGCTCAGTTCTGTAGAAAAAATAGACGTATGTCTTCATTTTGAACTTCTGAAATCAATGTCATTTTTTCTTAATCGGAGGCTCGTTCTAATTTTAAAATTGATCCATTATGCCCATATCTATTTTAACGGATTTTTATTCTATTCATTCTAAATAATTTTATGGATATCCACTCGGATGGGCCATATTGTCATCCTTATTTTTCAATAAGAAAATTGAGATGTTAACTCAATAGTTAAAGCTTAATTTTATAAATTTAAGATATTAATTTAAAATTTCTTTAGAGCCAATTTTAAAATGTAGTAATCATTAATATTAATTTAATTAATAAATTAGTTAATTAAGAGCACCAATAAATTAAATACAATTTGCTACATCTCATCAGTTTTGAAGATATTAAAGATGCGGGATCAAGCATAGTCCCATTTGATTAGGGGCACCCCCATCAACCATTTGCTTAGTTAAAAAAAATCAATAAAAAGTTATTTCTCAAAAGCTTTAAGAGTTATTTTTTAGAAGAGTATGATAAAATATAAAGCAGGATAAATATATGAAAACTTATTCTATTATATGTTTGATTCACATAGGTAAATTAATAAATGATTTTTTTTATTTTAACTGTTGGATTCTAACACACTTTATTATTAGAATAAAATTTGAACTAATAAGATAAAATAAAATAAATTTTAGGATTAAATGATTATGTTATGAATTGAAATAGAATAAAATACATCTATTTTATTTTGTCTCTTAATAGACCCTTAATTTAAAAAAAATGTTTAATAATAAATTTAGTTAATTAATCACTCTATTTCAATTTCAAAAAATTTTAGTTTAATATCAGATGCACTTAAGATTAATAACATATTCATATTTTAAATAAAATCTTACTTGTAAGAAAGTAATTGAATTTCAAAAACATATAAATGTTTATTTCTAGAACTATAATTGACGATGAATCCTAAACGGTGGCACGGAAGGGAATATGCAAGATTATCATTTAACGTTAAAGTTATTTTAAAATTTAAGATAAATATAGTAAAATTAAAAATCAAAAAGTATATATAATATGACTTTTACACCTTGAGTTATTTGGAGTGGATTAATATTAATTTAGAAGATTTCTTAATACATCCTATATATTATCAAGGCATCACAAAATACTAAAATATTTTTAGATTTTAGATATTAATCTTCAAACGTACTCCAGAATACGTCGTAAGTGAATTTCCCTCATTTTGTAAAAGAAATAGTCTGAAAATATATTTTTGAAAAATACATTTTCGGAATTTTTGATTCTTGTAAAGATAATTATTGATTATAGTGAGAAGAAAGTGGAGGTAATTGTAATGAAATAGCATGATATTTTATGGATGTAAACATTTTTTTTAGACAAAATAAGTATTTTACCAGTACTATCTTTATGTGATTTTAGGTCCTTTCAAAAATACATCTCCAAATTTTAGAAGATTTTTTTAGATTTTCATATTATGTTTTTCCAATCCATAAGGTTAGAAATTTCCTTAATTTATGCTTTAACTCTTTTCATTTAGTCGGCCCAGAAACTCAAATTAAATCTTTAAGAAATGGCTACCTTTTTAAGGATAAACTTCTCTAATGCAACTTTTTTAATGAGTTTCTCTCACTTTTTGTCACGGCACTCTAATTTCCATAAAACATCTAATTATCCTTTTCATTACAATTTTGATATTTAATTATATTTTAAATTAAATATATAATTTTTTTATCAAGTAATCTAATAAATAGAACTCATAATTTAAAAATGAATAAATGAGATATCGTAGATTCGAATACGCGTTTCTACTAATGTTCATATAAAGTGAGTTGCCTTAATGACACAAATTAAATATATAGCTGTAAAATATTATTATCTATTTTGCAAAAATAAATAAATTAACCATCCATATTTTGTAACAAAATAAGTTAAATCTATTCAAATCTTATTTACCTTAATTATGTATAGACTATTAATGATTTATCAACAAAATTAAAGAGGATAATATTCTAATCATTGATGAGTGAAGGTAACCAAACAATAATTCAAAAAATTCCAGCCAATGAATTTGTTATATAACTTATAAATTTTGTTGGTCTTTTCTCAGTTGGAGACATGTTGCATAAAGTACACAATCAAACCATTGAGTCTGTGGTGCCTGTTTCTAAGGATCTAAAATGTTCATAAAGTCTAGGATGTGCTAATTTTATGCAATGGTTTTAATCAAGAAAAAAAGAATTGTAACTTTTGATGTTAATAGAAAAATTTAACAGGAAACAACAAGATTAAAGATTAATGATGTTAACTAGTTTGTAGATTGATAAATTGTAATCATCTTTTAAACCAATCCCCAATGCCCACATTTTGTTGAGGGCGTTGTGAGGATGACGGATGTTGTTATGATTACTACATTACAATCAGCGCCGGGAAGTTCAGGGTACTTGAATTTGTACCCTGAACGCAAAATGTCATTTTTTAAGAATCCTTATATTCTCGGTCTCGCTGCGGTCGCTGGCATTGGTGGCTTGCTTTTTGGTTACGACACAGGTAACTTCATGCGCAAATATATACTTGATCCATTCGGTATATGTTCATTAAAATCAAGAACGTCTTTGAGGATGTGCAGGATCCTTAGTTGTTTTGTAACGGCTGAATCTTAATATGATAATCAAAAACTTAAGTCGGCTCTGACGAAAATATTTAAACAAAATTTGCAGGTGTGATATCAGGAGCACTTCTATATATAAAGGATGATTTTGAATCTGTAAGAGAAAACAAATTTCTGCAGGAAACAATAGTGAGCATGGCAATAGCTGGTGCAATATTTGGAGCATCGACAGGCGGTTTGATTAATGATGCTTACGGACGAAAAATATCAACACTTTTCGCCGATGTTATCTTCATTTTAGGATCAATCACTATGGCTGCTGCACCTGATCCTTACATTCTCATAATGGGCCGCCTTGTTGTTGGTTACGGCGTAGGAATTGCGTCTGTCACTGCTCCTGTCTACATCGCCGAAGCATCGCCTTCCGAAATCAGAGGTTCTTTAGTCAGTACTAATGCTCTCATGATTACCGGCGGACAATTTATTTCATACATAGTTAACCTCGCCTTTACGCGTGTTCCCGGTACTTGGCGATGGATGTTGGGAGTTTCGGCTGTCCCTGCACTTGTTCAATTCATTCTCATGCTCTTCCTCCCTGAATCTCCTAGATGGCTTTTTTTGAAGAATAGAAAAGATGAAGCTGTTGATGTTCTTTCCAACATCTATGACTTGGCTCGTCTTCAAGACGAAGTCGAATTTCTAACCGCTGAGGAAAAACAAGACAGACAGAAAAATAAGAAAGTCAGATTTCAAGATGTTTTTAAATCTAAAGAAATCAGATTAGCATTCATGGTTGGAGCAGGACTTATGGTGTTCCAACAGTTTACAGGAATTAACACCGTTATGTACTACAGTCCGACGATAATTCAAATGGCGGGTTTTAAATCTAACGAAATGGCTCTTGAAATCTCAATCTTTGTTGCTGCAATGAATGCGGTCGGAACAATTCTTGGAATTTACCTAATTGATCATGCAGGGAGAAAGATCTTAGCTCTTTGTAGCTTAGGCGGCGTGTTCGTGTCTTTGGTTCTCTTGTTTGTGTCATTCTCAAACCAATCACCAGCAGCAGGGGCAGCAGTAATTAGTAGTACTGGATGGCTAGCAGTTTTTGGTTTGATACTATATATTGCGTTTTTCTCACCGGGGATGGGGCCGGTGCCGTGGACGATGAACTCGGAGATATATCCTAAGGAATATAGAGGAGTTTGTGGGGGTATGGCTGCAACTGTGTGTTGGGTTTCAAATCTCGTTGTTTCTCAGACATTTCTTTCTGTTGTTGATGCTTTAGGAACTGCTCTCACTTTTTTTATTATTGCTATCATTACATTGTTTGCCTTTGTGTTTGTGTTTCTATATGTTCCTGAGACTAAGGGATTGACCTTTGATGAGGTTGAGCTAATATGGAAAGAGAGAGCCTGGGGCACCACTGACATTAACAACAGCAACAACAACCCTGACTCACAAAACCTTCTTGGGAGGGACAATGATCAATAATTCTTAATAGCTAAATTCTTTACTTTTTCCAATAGAAATAGCACCAAGTATTAGGGAATTTTGAGGAAGAAAATGCTAGATTGAAGGTGTGTGGTGAGTGAAGCAAATGACGAACAAGACGAGGAAAATGATATGAAACTTTGATTCATTTTTAATAAGGTAGTATACGAGCATTTTTAAATTTGAATTTCAGAATTTTAACTGTCAAGGACAAGCTCACTTCTGCCTTCACCATAGATCAAAGGAAAGATTATACCGCATCGCCATCTGAGATCACGGACCATGACAGAAAACTTTAAGCAATATTAATTGATGAAAGTGCAAAGAATGGGAACTAACCAAACTAAAATGAAGGTGCAAAGATTGGGCGACGACTTTGCGACAGCAACAAGAAAAGGCAGGAACTGCTGAACTGTATCGACCAGAAAACATTGGTTGGAGCTCAGTTTACATTAAATCCATTAAATCCAAATCTTATGCTTGCGTCCTACAGCAAACAACATGTTTCATACCAACAGATAGATTATTCAATTTCTTTTGTTATTTATTTATCATTATATTTTTTAATTTAATTTTTCATATTATAATTAGATAAGAAGAAATTGATAATAACTCATTCAGCAGATTATATTCTTTAAATACTCCTGCACAGGGCTAGGTAAGAATTCTAACAAATGATCTATAGCCAATTTGGCATCTCTGCCATTGGCAAATTGATTCAGAACCTGTATTTTTAATTCAAGTACAAGGCATATATAAGAAGTTATAGAATGTTTTTTTGACTCATTTCTTAGTCCTTGCTCTCTTGGAACTTGGAGCTTTTTTCTTGGATATCTTTGACTGTGATTTTCCACCAGTACTTCTACCTCTTTTCTTTTCAGCACCCTGCATCCAAATTTTCAGCAACTAAGTATGCACGCACTAGTATTTTCAAGTATCAATAAGGACAAATCTAAAACCTAAAGCAACTGGGAAACTTACTGATGTTTTGTCTGCCTTCCGTTTAGATTTACCAGGTGTCTGTTCCTCGGCGTGCTCGTTTTGATCAGATGGGTGGGTGGTTTTCTGATTCTTGCCAGCTTCCTCATCAGAATCAAAGGAAAAACCATCCAATGTCCCTTCTCACGTGAAAAGAATAGATTATGCATAATATTTAAAGCAATACTACCAGTTAGTCGTTGGTGGATGCAAATTACCTTCAACCATAGTTTCGGCTTCATAAACATCAGACGGTGGATTCAGCTGTACAAAGTCATTCATGATGGCCTCTATCTGAAAATAAATTATAGGTTAAACACCAATGGCTGCCCGTATTTTACAAAGTCCTTGTCAAGGCTGACTAATCACTAATAAGTGAATAAATGAGAAAATGAGTAGATAACGGATAAGAAGCAATCAAGACGACTTCAGAAATATTTACTACGTAAAGTGAACTAATAAGTAGGACCTATATAACAACAGACCTTTGCCTCCGACTGCCCAAAGCTTACCTGAAAAAGAAAAGAAAAACTCATTACAGCGGTATTTGAAAGGTACAATATCTTAATCATGGATGTGACTAGCTACAAGGTCAAATAAAAAGTTTCAAGGACATGATGATAAATGCAGATTACATCAAAGATGACATACAACGCAAAACGTCCGGCAAGGAACTATAGATGTTTTGTAGACTGTTCCTGAAAAGAATTTGAGCAATCAGATACAGGTTGCACTATCAGACAAATGCAGTGTAACACAAAAAATGGAAGCCTAATAATGTACACATTACAGCAGCATGTAGTTTGGAGTAGAAATCAATATAACAAAAAATGAGGTGATCACTAAAAATCAAGGTTTTATGATTCCCATTTTTAAAAACTTATAACATACAGTCAGCTGTTTCTGGAAGACTCTGATAGGTTCAATTCAGTATCTAACAGTAGAACAGCAGGAAAAAAAACAGAGAGACAGAAATAACACTAACAGTATGCAAAATAAGAACTTTATTGATAGGGATTAGAGATCAAACGGGATCTAATCCTTTAAGGAGGAACAGATTTGTAGAAATGTAAGCAAAAGACAAGAGTGTTATCATCAAGATGTATGTGTGTGTCTTTATACATTAAAGACAACAATATTTGTTTCTTAATAAGAAAACATGTGTCCTAAGATACCTTTCAAATCTAAGCACATTTCCGGATCCCCGGAATGGGAATCTGAGATAATAATCCGCCCTACAGCTCCCATATCACCACTCAAATCTATGGAGTCACCTTGACACTCAATTAGAGCCTGCAAAACAGAGCAGCATTTTGGCATTGGCTCATTTCCTATTTCATAAAAAAGGAAAAAGAAAATCATTACAACAGATGTTATTTCTACAAAAAACCTACATGTCACATGTATCCCCACTCAACAAAATTGTAAATCAAACTAGCAACATTTTGCTAGACCTCTTATTATTATTATTGTTATTATATTATATTAGGCTGCAATTATTATGTTATTAAGCAACAACCAGTAGTAATGTTATTAGGCTGACAGTTATTATTTTAGATAGATTTTAAATTAGTAAAAAAACTGTATCCACTTTATTTTGGGACTGGATTTTAATTAGGAGAGACCAAGCTCTCGAATTTGTGGAAGGAAGAGACCAAGACTCTCGAATTTCTTGGATAGGAAGTACTTATCTTTTTTTGTGTGTGTTATAAGTCTGTAAATTGGGTTTCCTGTTGCAATCCAAATTCTGACCACGGTAGCCAGTAGCCAGAGTTGTTCAATAAAAGTCAGTTGTTTCCTCTATGTTTCTATGTTGGGTACCAGTTTGTATCACTTTTCTTCCCCGAAATTTTATTTGTTTTCAAAAGTGAAACATGATACTCATCTGGTTGTCCCTGTGGTAGTATCTAAACATGGCTGGTACAATACAACTATAAAACCAGACATTTAGCAAAGGAAATCCCGACCTTTGTACGGTGAACTTTCTCAGAAAGCATCAAAGGCAACATTGAGGAGGAAACCTAAAACAAATAGAAAGCAAATTTTAGAATGTCAGACTAGATAGGAAATCAATGTGGTCTTTGATAGTTATTATTTAATCATGTATCGAAGTGATGGGCATGCTGCGATACATTTTTAGGAAATCATTATAAAAATGAAATTCTTACATTTGGTCCAACATGCTTTTCAACAGTTTCTTCCTCTTTAACCTCTACATCTCCATCATCACCTGTCCCATTTCCATATACATGTACAAAATGGTAATGAAGTGCCTATTTCAAATCCATATGTATGGGGCAATGTATTGCATTTTTTTTAAAAGTAAAATTAACCATTTCATACCTTTCCCATTAACATTAACCTTTGTTTTCTTCCCTTTTACTGGTGTGCCCATTATTTTTTTTTGTGACGTCTTTGCTTTTGAAACCTTTTTGGATGGAGACTTTCCATCTTTGTCATGAAGTCCATCCCCACATTCTACTTCACCAGGAGGTGGAGATATTTGGGGCTTAGAAGTTTCCACCTGATCAATGTGATCTTCAGTTTTCGGAATATGATCACGGTATGACTCGGAATCTGATGACAGTTCCCACAGTGAATGAATGGGTTCCTATGCAAAAACATTGGATATTATCAGTAATAACAATATAAGTGGCAGGCCAAAGCCAAAAACATATTTGTGACACGATGCGCACAATAAGGCAAAAGGAAATGTGTTTTTCTTCGAAATCTACAACTGCCACCTAACTAATAAAAGATGAGATGGCATGGATCTTACTTTGTGCTTGGTTTCCTTGTCGGTGTCGGTGTCGGAGTCAAGCTTAATCTTCTTATCCTCCCTCTTTCCTGCATCATAAGTACCAAGGGGCGAAATGACAATGCAATCAAAAATCAAACTGTCGAAGGATTCTCACATTGTATAACTCAAGTCAATTGACCATAAATACTATTTCATCTTGAGGGATCTGCAATTGAAAATCAAATATCAAGTGTACCATTTTTCTTCTTCTGCGTACCCGTTTTCTTCCTTCTAGATGGTGTTTGATCATCTATTTGAAGACTTTTTCTATCCTCATCTGAAAAGCCACGACTAACACGTAAAGACTCAGAATCAGATGACAGTGTCACCGGCGAATCAGGAGTGGGTACCTAGTAGCAGGAAAATGTATAAGGACCATGGTGTTAGCAATGCTCAATCAATAACAGTTAGGAACTGATATACAATGTGAAGATTGCAATAATGGAAGTATGTAATAAAAAATTGTAATCATGGACAAATTATTGTGATACCTGAAAAGAACGCAACCAATCGGGGGAACTGTCTCCAGAACTGCTCATGTTTTAGGTAAATGATAATGAGAAAGTGGTATTGATCCCTGAAAGAACGAAAAAACAAGTATAACGCGTCGTAGGGTTGTGCATGGTTAATCGGATCACATTATGGTTTTGGTTTGCTAAACCAAACTATTTGTCTACTTAATGGCACATCATCAACATCATTTACTTAATCTTATACATCATTTACTAAATCTTATACATTCAAACATTATGTTTCAAAAGTCTACTAAATGATAAATTCCAGCTAAAACAATTTTTTATGTCTTGATCCTAGAACGTAAATCAATCTTCATCAAATCTACTTCATTATTTGATCCTTTTGCATAGTAGGAGTCAATGTACTGACAATAGTTCCCAAGGCACTATATATGATGGTTATGCTGCAGTGATTTGTTTAAGTACATTTGGGAATGCCCGTGATATTTAGCATATTAATTTTCTTTTGACGTAACAAGTACCAAATGTTTGCGCATTGCATAATATAATTTAAACAACTTAAGTGCCAAACAGTTTTGCCCAAAACTACTGAAATTGGTACCATCCAAGAAAATGCTACGGCAACACCTTGTACAAAACTTTAAAATCCCATCAAATGACTTTCCAATCTGTTCGAAAATATATTGTCAATGTTGATCATGAGGCTGCGTGTTTTAAAATACGCTTTGGCTTAACTTTGTGCATTCTTTATTGCATACAGTCAATCATCAAGAATAGTGAAGAGGACACTAATTTGTGATAACAAAAATATGTATGCCGAATGTTGCAAATTACATGTGGCAACTAAACTCAACTATTTGCAACAATAGTGAGGAGAACAGTAACTCAAATATGCACCTATCAAAATAAGCAGGATGCAGGAGGATGTTGAACTAATGGCTGATATTGAGGTTGAGATTTATGTTTGGATTGATGGAACATAATGGAGCGGAGCGGAATCATAACGGAATGAAATAGAGATCCCATTCCATTGTTTGGCTATTTCATTAAAAATATCTTATTTCGTTGCATGCACGGATGCACCCCAAATCGGATGGAATAAAAAAAAAAGGAGAATTGGATGAAATGAATTGTTCCATTCCATTTCATCCATTATTTGCAAATCCAAACAATGAAATCTCATTATTAAAAAAAAAGGAGAATTGGATGAAATGAATTGTTCCATTCCATTTCATCCATTATTTGCAAATCCAAACAATGAAATCTCATTATTTACCATTCCATTCCGCTATGTCACATTCCATCAATCCAAACATACCCTAATAAAGAATCCAGAATTACCTAAGCATAGCCAATTAGCCACATATTCTAGAAAAAAAATTAACAAGAAACTAAAAAAAACATCAATGAAATCAACAATTCAGATTATACCACAAGCGTTTGGCTATTACAAGATAAAAATCAGCTTGCCCTTCCTTATGTTGAAAGCTTACACTAAACTTTATAAGAGACTATCATTCATGATAAAAAGCATCAAAAAATCACTTAATCTCAAACTTGATTATAATCAAATCAATTCAAAGTTATTTCAATCAACAAGCTCACATAATCAATTAAGCTAAATAATCAATTAAACTAGCATAATCAATTTTAGAATCAACAGAAATCCACGGGATTAACAAATCTTGCATAAACATGCTAAAGAAAAACTGAATATGACAGTAAGTCCAGAGGAACTGGTATCAACTGCAAATTCAGAAAGCGAAATCTCAAGGAAATGAAGGATGAGATGAAAATAAAGCATAAGAGAGCTTACGTTAGAGTTTGAAGTTATCAGCGTTGAAGTGTGAAGGGATTGCGCACAGAGAAAGGACGCTGAAGAAAGAGAGTGAGAACAATGGTGAAATCGATTTCTGAGGTGGGAGCTAGGGTTCGGTCACTTCGATTTGCGATTTGGAGGGAAACCGGTTTATAAACCTATTAGATATATGGGTACCCATTTTAATTATTGGTGTCTGGTTCAGTTTCTTGATTAAATGGTTTGGGGATTAAAATTTAGACAAGGTTTGGTTATTGTTTGTGGTTAGAGGCCACTACAAAAAAAAAAAAAAAAATATATATATATATATATATATATATATATATATATATATATATATATATATATATATATATTCTGAGTTTGGAGTAGTAAATCGGAATTTTATATTTAGTATTATCTTTGGATTTATTAATTTTTAACTAATTAAAATTTATGAGTTTAATATAGATAATAATTTTAAAAAATACTATTGATAAATTAAATATAATACCGTGGTAAAAGTTTGAGTCTTGAGAATGTGATCTTTTTATATTTAAGATTTAAATAATATTAAGTGGTAACTATTTTTATATTTGATCAATTTATAGAGTTTTGCCTGAATTTTAAATGGACTTCCATGTTAAATGTATAATTTATTTTTGTTTGATATTACTTTGACCAATAAGAAAGAGTGAGGCAAGGTAGAAAATTATGTTGTAACATAATTTTTTAAGTTTGTTAGGGACCATAAAGTTAGTTAAAATTAGTTTAGTTACTTGATATGCAAGTAACTTATGTACATATACTCTGACATTGTTATTATTTTAGTTAGTGCTATTCATCTCTTTTCTCTTTCAATTTTTAAAAGTCGGACTAAAGTTAAGCTCAACAAAAAAAAATTTCCCGTTAATTCCGCTAATCTCGTTCTCTTGGTTGTAGTTTTGTTGGATAGTAGACTGAGACAATGAGAATCTCGTTAATCCATTCATACGCGTCACTAATTAAATGACGAGGCATTTTGACTACCTTAAGTGAGCCATAGTTACTCCCTCCGTTTACCCGCGCTTGGTTGAATTTTTTCACTTTGACATTCAGAGCATTAGGCAGAAATCACATTGTGTTAACATCCGCAAGGACCATTGCAATATTTTGTTTTAATTAAATAGTCGGGTCCTCTTGTCCTTACCAGTTATGAGTTGACTGCTCGATGCCCGGGGAAGAGGCCCCAAAGGGTCCGTTCCTAATTCGTCCCCCGACCAGCAAGCGGCGACCCGCTCTCGCTGCGAGAGCAGCTTAAGCAGTCCACCAACAGCCAACAGGTTCGAAACTAGGATCCCCATGCTCAACCCTCAAAGCTAATCCTTTTTCCGAGGTTACATATCCATTTTGCCAACTTTCCTTCCCTACATTGTTCCATTGACCGGATGTTATTCACCTTGGAGACCTAATATGGTTATGAGTACGGTCGCATGGAAGGTATTCAGTCCTCCGAATTTTCAAGGGCCGCCAAGGGCACACCAGACACCACACGACGTGCAGTTCTCTTCCAGCCGCTAGACCCTACCTCCGGCTAAGTCGTTTCCATGGTGGGTAGGTTGTTAAACAGAAAAGATAACTCTTTCCAGGGCCTACGCTGACGTCTTCGGACTCCCTAACATTGTCGCAACCACTTCCCGGTTCAGGAATTTTAACTCAATTCCCTTTCAGTGTATTTGCTTAAAGCGCTACCAGACGAGCTTCCTCCGTCCCTTAGGATCGACTAACCCATGTCCAAGTGTCGTTCACATGGAACATTTCCCCTCTTCGGCCTTCAAAGTTCTCATTTGAATATTTGCTACTACCACCAAGATCTGCACCGATGACGATCTCTCACTTAATAATAAAACGAGTTTTATTCGATCTTCTTAGGGCAAAAATAGAGGTTGGAATACCATTGTCTCCTTAGCTCTCGAGTATCTAATTGTAGGTCATACTTAGTCTATGGTTAAGATACTTGTCTCCCTCTAAGTACCAATGGTTGAACTCTCCTCACAAATTTCATAAGCAACTTCTAAAATAAATCACAACCAATCAAGTAAACTTTTGCGCCTTAGGTCAACGTTCAAACCTTTCACCCTTCAACACCTTAACAACATTCTCCTTCATGGATCAAAAAACATCTTCTTTCCTTGGTTAATCATCAATTCTCAGTTAAAAGACCAATTTCTTTCCTTTTGGGTTAATTACTAATTCTCGGTTAAAAGACCGTTTTCTCTTTTCCTTGGTTAATAATTGGTTCTCGGTTAAAAAACCAATGTATTTCCCTTTGGGTTAAACACCTCTTGGTTAAAATACATTTTTCTTGGTTAATCACTGATTCTCGATTAAAAGTGCATCTTCTCTTTTCCTTGGTTAATCACTGATTCTCGGCTAAAAGACCATCCTTTTTCCTTTTGGGTTAATCACCTCTTGGTTAAAATACCATTTCCTTGGTTAATCACTGATTCTCGATTAAAATACCATCGTCTACCATTTCTTTAGTTAATCACCGTCTATCGGTCAAAAAACCACTCTCTCTCTCTCTCTCTCTCTCTCTCTCTCTCTCTCTCTCTCTCTCTCTCCTGGTTAATCACTGATTCTCAATTAAAATACCAACTTATCCTTCTTAGGGTTAATCACCACTTCTTGGTTAACAAACCCTACAACTCTTTTCTTTACATAACCCTTACTCTAAATCATACGCTCGAATTCCACAAGCACAAGCACTTTATATTTACATAACCCTTACTCTAAATCATACGCTCGAATTCCATGTATGACATATAATCGACATCCCAACTCTAATTCATCTCAGTAACTTCCCCATTAACATACCACTTAACAAATGTCTCAACAAATTTCCTCCTATGATGTATTCTCAACCTAATCTTATTAGTCTTAGCTGGCTTGAGAAAAATTTACAAAAATAAATTCAAATTAACAGAAACAGACAACTGAGGCCACAAGTATACATAAACAAAACTAAACTACCGGGACTACAAGGACAAAGAAACATATTTTACACAATATATGACCTCTTCATTTCTCTCATGTTGAGTTCATGAGTTTGTCATTTTCGTAAAATCACAAGAACTCTATAACTCAACTTCACAATAACTTTGCACACTTGAACGATTTGGAATTTGTTGAAAGATAGGTGTAACGATGGGTGTGAATAGAGGATTAGAGATTTTGCACTTCCGTTGAACGATGGGTGCAAATGGGTGATTAGGAATTTTTCACTTCTACTGAACGATGAGTGTGAATGGAGAATTAGGGCTTTTGACCTATTGTTTCTTTTTTAGTTTTTATAACTATAATAAATTGTTTTTTTTATTTAAAAAGTGTTTTTAATATTTTCTAAATTAAAATATTCATTTGAATTTTAAAATATTCTAAATGGATGACATAAATCCAAAGTTAAATTGTCACCTCATTAATAAATATGACACATAAGTAAAATTAAATTGGAGACCACACAAATCCAAATACCATTAAAATAAAAGAATCATAATCGTTGATTTTGTAATAGGAAGATGAATTAAAGGAATCAATAGTATATTTAAGCTTTAAGTTATTATATATTACATAACTTACAAATAATTTTATTATTCAATGTTGTGATTAATTGACACCATGAGGAGTTATCTTAAATAAATAAAAAACCTCTACCGATCAAAATTGCGAAAAGTGTTACTTAGAGTGCCACCATTTTTTAAACCTTGCTCATTTGTGTAAAAAATATATAAGAAAGATCACTTAGATTACTTGTCATCCACATACTACTTAAATATTATACACTTAATATGATACACTTAAATATTATCCACTTAATATGATACATTGCTGTCACAATAACTCCAACCTACTCAAGCCTTGCATAAAGTCTTCCACCACTGTCGTCTGTAGTTGAAATTGATATTGAGGTATCCATCTATGTAAGGTGTAGGGACCCAACTTTTGTGCCCTCCTTGTATTTTTGCTTGATGATTAGGCGTTGGGTTGTTAGTTACTTGCAATGACTATACCGACACTTCCGACAATTCCTGGAAGCTCTGGCTATTTGGACATACACCCTCAAAGAGAATTTTCTATGCTCAAGAACCCTTACATTTTAGGACTCACTTATGTAGCTAGCATTGGTGGATTGCTTTATGGCTACGACACTGGTACAAACTACTAATCTTTTCTTCGCTCTATTATTCATCGTGAATTGAATTGAATGCTGTAACTAAACTTTCAACACCATCATCAATTAGGTGTTATATCAGGAGCTCTTCTCTATATTAAAGATGACTTTCCTGCAGTCAGACACAGTCATTTTCTTCAGGAAACTATTGTTAGCACGGCAGTGGCTGGCGCAATTGTTGGAGCAGCAATAGGTGGTTGGATGAATGACAGTTATGGAAGAAAAAAGGCAACCATCCTTGCAGATGTTTTCTTCATTCTTGGAGCAATTCTCATGGCTGCTGCACCAGATCCTTACATTCTCATACTTGGCCGTGTTTTCGCCGGTTTTGGTGTTGGTGTTGCTTCAGTTACTGCTCCTGTTTATATTGCAGAATTGTCACCATCGGAAATAAGGGGAGCACTGGTTGCCACAAATGTGCTTATGGTAACTAGTGGAGTGTTTGTATCTTATCTAGTAAATCTTGCTCTTGCACAGTGTTGCACCCTAAATTTTGACCCCTTAGATCATCGTCATCATTTTAGGATCATATTCAGTTGATTAACTAACCTTAACCCATTTCAAGTTTATCATTGTCAAAATGCAGATGAATCAGGGTTCCGTACCGTCAAAATCGAGGCTTCGATGGGTTGATAAATCAATGTTTTGGATTGATTCAACTTTAAACAAGATCCAGGATACTACATTAGGTCAAGTATGAATCCAATTTGAGGTTGTCACCCAGGATTTGAGAACAGTGCAGTTCAGGATACCCGATTAGGGTTTTCGATCAGGAAAATTCAACCGTAGTTTGAATTTTAACTTAAAAAGTGTTCCAATGGTGTGATCATGGTCCATGAAGTTCCTATGGCTTAGTAAAGTCTACTCAAGAAGTTTCAAGGCCTCAAAATACCCAGAGCATCAACAGTCGACTCGGTAGTCACCGATTGATCGTACGGTTGACTGAAAAGTCAACTCATTGACCAACATGGTTTTGACCCAAAATTGAAGGCAATTATGTTCCTAATGGTATATAACATCTATTCATGAAGTTTGGTGACCATTGGATCAAGAATTGATAAGTAATCAAAAAGTTGGGAAATTAAGGTTTTGAAAAGGGCAAAGCCATAACTCCTTAACCACACAAGGGTTTTTGACCTAGTTTCAAGGGGAATGAGTTCCTAAGACAAGCATAAATATTGTAGTACCTAATTGTGGATTTTTAAAAAGTACAAGTGGGTTCCATAACTCTTCCTGGTTAGAGAGAACCAAGATCCACAAGTTGGCAAAAACTCACATTCGCAAAACTAGGTCAGCATGAGTTTTTTTATTCCAAAACCTCTCCAAATCGATGGTAATCAAAGACTAAACCTCATTTATGATGTTTGCATTGATAATGAACATTTTTAATATCAATTCCCACGAAAATGGCACAAATATCAAAGGAAATCATTATTTAATGCAAGTTGAAAAAGTGAATAGTGAAGAAAGAGAAAAAAGGTGGCTACCCTTGTCAAATCATCAACTTTAATTCAACAAGTCACCTCCTATCCTATCAAGCATGATGAAAAAATCTATAGGGTATGGAGAATATCTTAGTAGAGTGGCTTAAAGACAAGTATGAAGATTGCATTGGAAAACTCAAAGATTTTCATGATGGAAGGTTAAAATTGACAATTTGCTTCATTTTTGCCCATACCTTGATCCAAGGCCTTTGGCTATAAATAGAACTCACTTCCTACATCACAAAGACACAAGTTCCATGCTATAAACCAACTAGAACTTTCTTCCTTACACAATCACAAGTTCTTACAAAATCTCATTAAGTTTCCAAAATCCCTCAAAATTTGCTTTTGAAAAACACCTTTCAAAACCATTTCCAAACTTCTTCCAACTCAAGAAACACTTCAAACACATAAAGTATGATGTATTGAAGCTATCCAAGTCACTTCCACACTTATGTAACAAGATCTTGGAAGAGCTCTCAAGATCTCTGGTTTTCTTATTGCTTAAGCTTGCTTCAAGAGGTAAACCTAAAACTCATAAATGTGAACTTTCCACTTGCATTCCACATGTTACCATGACTGTTTTTTTTTACCATGATGATCTTGAAAATTTTCAACTTGTAACTTGATTTTTCTTGTGATATTGATCTTGTATTATTCTTAAATTTTTGTTAACATGTTTAAATAATCAAATTTGTTTGACTCATTGTCTTACCATGTGCATTTTATTCCTTTTATCATTTAGATTTTCATGTTTTGTTCATCCAATCTTTGAAAATTCATAACTCACTCATTTTTAATCATTTTGAACCCATTCTTTTTGCATTGTGTTTGTCTTGACGCCTAATTTCATGTGATATTTTTTAATTCCATGTTTGTTCATATTTTCATGCCTTTTGGTTGCTTGTAAGTTGCCTTTGTATTGAGATCGTTATCTCGCGTATGCAGATGAATTTCTTTTTCACCGTGATCATTTGTGTTATGATATTCACTCATTCTCATTCCTCCCATGTTAGTTAACATGCTAGGGTACTCTCCTTTGGTTGTTACCATGATTTCATATTAATTCCTCCTAAATTATGAGGTTAAACTAATTTGCTTGTATTTGATTGTCATCGATACATATGGGTTGTTACCTTCATCTTTGTTAAGATATGCCTTCATCTTGGTTAAGATATTTCATGGGTTGTTACCTTCATCTTTGTTAAGACACATTCATTCTTGGTTGTAACCATTTATCTTGATTTAAATCCTTGCTTATTGTAATATGCATGCTTGTTTGGTTGTAACCATAATCCTTGATTACTTTGTTAATTATTTCTTCCCCAAGTGATGAAACTTTTTTAGTTCTCATCCAAGTTGTCTCCTCTCCCTCCTTCCAAAGGAAAGTCTCTCTATTGACCCTTGGGTCATAGATAGCTCAAATCCCCTCATAGGCCTCGAAAGAGCCTTAACCCCCTTTTTGGTTTGGATAGAACCAATAGGATATAAACTCATAGGTCTGGATAGAACCTTCCCCTCTTTTGGTCTGGAAAAAACCAATTGATTCCTTAGTTTGAGCCCGAACTACGACCGCTCTGATTTCTCATTGGACAATGAGAATACGTAGGCACAAGATGCGATATCTTGACGAGCAACCTTCCCCCTCACTAGGAGTGTTTACAACTAGAACCCTAGGATAAAGTTGTTAACTCTATGTAAGGATCATGGATATGATCACTTACTTCCCCCTTTGATTGTTACAACATAGACATGGAGAGTTTTGTGAAACTCTACACAAACATTATTATGTTTGTTCCCCTTTGAACCTTGATCGCAATCAAGCGTTCTTCAACCCTAGTGAGGTGAACTACGATTGCTCTGATTCTATCCTAGTTAGGATACGTAGGCAGAGGACGCGATGTCTTTGCGAGCAAACTTAGAAACAATCTTAGGTCTTCATCTATCATAACCTTCACCTTTTTACCCAATACCCAAACCTTAGCAAATATTTAACAAACTTAGCATACAAATAAACAAAAGGTTCCTGTAGAGTACTACAGATGTTTAGGATGTGAAATACCTACCCTATGCATAACCAACCCCCGATCCCCGAATCTCTTAGCGTTGTTGTAACATCGCGCAAAAGGTTCTTTCTTTCTTTAGACCTTTCCTTTGGATAAATTAAAGTCCGGTTGTAAAAGAATTAAGGTTCAAGTTAATTCAATAGCTTGATATCCGATTTTCACCGCAACAGAAATGGCGACTTCACTGGGGAAAAAAAACTTGAGGGTTTAGCCTATTTTGTTTAATTGTATGCTATATTTGTGAATATTTGCTTAACATGTATATTTGTCAATATATTTGTTTGTGTGTTGGGTATTGGGTGCTTTGAGTGGTGAGACGGTCCTACACCCGGACTTGAGTGCACTTATGATAGGATGGTGGTATTCAAGAAGGCTTATAGGGAGTTGATTCCCGACCAAGTTAACTTGAGAAACCACCGCTCAGTGTAGGCACTCTTGAAAGTTTAGTGTTGTTGATCGAGTATTCGTGAAAACAATGCTACTTTCGACGAAGGAGCCCATGACACTGTGGACTTTAGTTACCTTTTTACCCCACTTTGGCCTTATTAGGACGTAGTGCGATGACTATAAGGAAGTATTTCCGAAATAGTTGATATGCGATACTACACTCAGACGAGACTCTCTTGAGAATATTATCGATTACCAAGTAATTTGGGAAGTCGATAATATCCGAAAGATGGGTTGATGACTCTGGGAACTTTGTAGAACCCGTTCGGCAGGTACAAATTAACCCATATTACAAATCCTTGGGTATAGGTAGACCTTTGACTCTTTGCTCTTGAGCCTAGGAGGTCTTTGTGTATGCATTGTATTTGTGAATACTTGCCTTTGTGTTATGTGTGCATCATCACATCATATCACCATAAACATATCATGTCGCAACTAGTTTTATAAAACTCAGTCGATCTCTGGTTTTTTTTTTTAAAAAAAAAAGTTGTAACTTTTTCCAATGATAAATGAAATGGGGTTTTTAACCTAATCAAACTTCTGAGTTTTGTAAAACCAATTGCATTTTTGCACTTGCATCAACATTTTACATATCATACTTCGTTGCATTGGTTTTTTTGGTTCATTTTGTGTTCCGTTGACATCATAAGGGGGATATCTAGCACAAATAGGCAACAATGGAAGGACTTTTGAAAGCTCAGGAAATGCTGAAAGAGGACATCAGAATTCTCAAGTGTCAGATGAATTGGGTACTTGAGACATTGCAGAATATGATGAAGAAAGAGGGTCACTCTGACCATGTTGCGTCCAGAGAAACGAGGGATGCATTATCTCCGATGATTCCTCCGACTCAAGGACATTCTCGGTATCAACGAACAAATAACCATCAATCACGTCAGTATGCCCAACATTCAGTGTTTATTCCTCCTCAAGCTTCTCAAAGCCGAAAATTGAACAAGAAGGATCATGTCAGGAAAGATAAGACTTGCGGTAGACAAACTCCAGTACCGTTAAGCAAGCTTTACCCGCTACTGATTCAGAACTCACTAGTGACTCCACGATTATCCAATCCGGTTCCAGGACCATGGCATAATGTGAACCTAAACTGTGAATTTCACAAAGGAGCTGAAGGACACAACTTAGATGCATGTATAGCATTGGGTTATCTTGTACAAGAGCTAATCATTGACAAACACTTGATCCTCGAGGAAGACCACCCAGAAGTAGAATGTGGATATCATACTGGGACAACAGGGCACCTAGTTGAAGAGTGTGAAGGTTTTAAACTGAGACTGCAAGAGTTGCTGAAACCTCGGGAGGATAAATCAAATGACAGTGCTGCGATTCCTAAATCCAAAGGCAAAGGACCCGTGAGACCCCTCATAATTCTATATCACAAGGAGAAAGTGGTGGTTGAAGGTGTTTCCCCACATGGGCCTAAAATTTGAATTTTAATTCCCTAAGGCTGGCAGCTGTAGACTGTTTTAGCATGTGTTGTAACTTCTTTGCATTTGAATTGCTCGTAAGCTGTTGTTTATTTGAA